GGGTGCCTTTCTTCCTGTCTGGATGTTGCAAGTGTGCTTTCTCCTCCTGCTCTTCAGGTTCCTCCTCCTCTTCCAAATCTGATTTGAGTGCTGACCCGCTGTGGTCGCTCTTCCTTTCAAGAAGCTTGAGAGGTTTTGCTTTTGTTTCTTCACCATGCCCAGTCTTCCCTGGCTTTCCCGGCTGCAGCTACATTACTCTTTTAATATGTATCTCCTCACTCTGCCTCCCATGCTGTTCTGGGAGAACAGCTTTTACCTTTCCTTTAGCCATCTCTCTGTGCAGCACCTCATCGCTTCTGACTGGATGATAAGCTGAATTTAACCGTTTGACTCCCGGATCTTGTTCTTGCTGTTATTTGAGGTATTTCTGATCTTCATTAAGTGACTCATTGAGGATTCTTGGAATCAGTTTGGTCCTTGGAAGCCTCATCAGGAAGAAGGGAGTGGCATCTTTTTGAGGGTTAATTATCCTGTGGTGAAATCCTTTTGAGTGTTCTTGGTGTTTTATGAATCAAAAGGTCTCATGGTTACAGAAACAGCTTTGGTTTGAAAAGTAGGTTTAATTTAAACAAAAATGAAAAGCATTATGTATGATCCCCTCATATTAATAATAAAAAGGATTTTCAAGACTTTTTTTTTTTTTTCAATTTGGAAGGGATGGCGTTTGGTGAGACTGGCTACGTGTAGTTCTTGGGCGATGAGAATAGTCTCAATACATGTTCTGCGCCTGGTCACTTGACAGCTTTGCATGGACCTTGCCTTCTTCCTCTGTTGTAAGCCATTGCAGTTTTCTTGCGCTGAACCTTAGGTGATCATTACAGCACTCCTAGTTAAGCTATAACATACACATACATGTCCACACACATAAATAAACTTAGATGATCATTATAGCTAGTTGAACCTTCTCTGGCTCTCACCCACCCCCACACACTTACACACATTCATGCACACACACACACACACATACACACATACACACATATATAAACCTTAGGTGACCATTACAGAACAGCTAGTTAAGCTGTAACACATACATGCGCAAACACATACATAAACTTTCATGGAAAGTGTGTATGATTTTATCCAGGTAAATTAGTATCTGGAGTGAGTGTGGTCTCCAGGTATGCTGTGGGCTTCTTATGCACTAAACAGTGCTCTTACCTGCCCGCATGTGTTGCTTCCTGATTAAGCAGTTCCAGATCGGATCTCCAGGAACTAGGGTTTGACTCCTGCTCTGTAGTCTAGAACACACCCCGCCTCACCTGCCTCCTTCCCACTTGCCTGCAATCTGCATAGATTACAAACTGCAGTATTTACTAATGTGCATGTTTGATTTTACTTTGTAGTTGCATTACAATAAGAGAACTGGGGTTGAGAGGAATTGAGGAATCTATAGGCTTCGGAAGTTAAAATCTGTACCCTGAAATCCTTTTCACAGTGCTGCATCGTCATTGAGTTTGGGGTGGCAGTTCCGATGTTTAAATACTGAGGTGCTTCTTTGTCTTTAGGAATATGGCCTACTAAACAGTGTATGCTTTTACTTTGTTTGGCTCAGCTGTCTTCTACTTTTTGATAGTCATCTTCTTACTCATTCAAACCTTGCTTAAGAACCAGGCCAGTTTCCTACTTAATTTAAATCCATGTAAGACACATAGTATTTCTTACAGTGGATGTTTGTTAATTTTAATAGAATTAAATTTGTATTGTCCAGCAGAAAATATCATTCATAGTTTAAAAACTATTAACAGAGACTGCAGGGTGTACTGGAGTATACCTCTAATCCCAGCCCTTGAGAGGCTGAGGCAGAACAAGACCTTGGATTTGAGGCCAGCCTGGATACATAGCAAATTGCAGGCTAGCTTGACCTACTGTCAAAACAAACAAACAAACAAACAAACAAAACAGAGAGAGAGAGAGAGAGAGAGAGAGAGAGAGAGAGAGAGAGAGAGAGAGACAGACAGACAGACATAGAGAGACAGAGACTGAGACTAGTTCAGGAAAATGGTGCCAGCAGTTGTCAGCAGCCTCATATAATGGGCTGAAGAGAGAAGTGAATCACAAAACACACTCCATTTGTGCATAAGTCACACTTGTTAGTCTTTTTAGGTGATTTCTGTAAGAACCTCAAACCATGTCTTTGGCAAGATCTGTGAGCTCAGACAGCTCAGCTTTCCCAGCAATGTAGAGAAGCAAAGGTCTACAGTTTCTGACATCAGCATTTCGTGTTTGAGTTGCAGCTTTTGAAATGTGAGGTGTTGTGTGCCCGTTTCCTTGGAAAGCTGTGGTAGTAGGCCGTCAACAGCACAGGAAGGCAGGGAGGACTTTTCTGTGACACTCCTGTCAGGTAGAAGAGACAGACTCTGAGCCCTTTCTGGCTGTGTGGCATTTGTGAGTAGCTTGATAAGTTTGTCACAAGTGTGTCAGCCACGAAGCTGGTAGGTAGTTCCCAGCTGTGTGGATTCACCAAGGCACTGTCGTTGGCCAGAGGTTCTGATCCAGCGTGAGCCCCTCTGCCTCCAGCCTGTGTGTTCTCATGTGCTGTGATGACCAGCTGGCATTTGGTACAAAGAAACTCCAGAGCAACTTTACCCTCCTCACCCCAGTGTGTTTGGCTGTGAGCTTTCCCTAACAAATGCTTCATTGCACATGGACAGGAGGATATCTTTCTTGAAACAAGCCCTGAAGCATAAATTGGTGGTTTTGTATTGGATCCCATGTTAAGAACCAATAGGTAATACATTTAAATAGGTGGTAGATAGTTATGGTCAATAGGTGGTTTACAGTCTTGAGTATAATGGAAACAGAATTCCTGCAGAGTAAGACAGTGTTCTTCTTTCTGTATAGAAGAACGTTCTTGGAGATGGTTATCATTGGGCACGGCCTTTCAAGTGTAATGCCTTATACACGTCTGAGCCATGTATGATCATTATATGGTCTACACCCCAGCTGAGCTAAAAATGTTTGTTTCTATAATAATTTAGTACAGGCATTAATTACAAACAGTTCCATCCTCCACTGATGCCTGTGGACCTGTGAGGTAGAGCTTTAGTCTTTCTTAGATGAAATATGGAATTTCTCTTGGAAATATATACCTTATACATGGCTTAGGTTTAATGGTAGGTAGACTCTCATGGAGAGATTTTAAAGGTGATATTTGTAAGGTGGAACTTCTGAATTATTCAGTGTTTAATTTTTTTGGTGGCATTTATAAATATTGTAGTGCTTTGTGTTTATAAAACATCCTAAGAACTAGTTGAAAGATCACAGGGAAGTGCAGGCTTTCCTGAGCTTCAAATGGAAATTGAAGTATAGGTTTTGGTTAAGGTAGCGTTAGTGCACATAAATTCGAGAATGTATATTCATGGAAATATCATTAGTTCTTTTATATCTGTGATAGTGGCTGCTGCTGAACAAAAGGTAGAACATTAGGCAGTTAGTGAATGAAATGACTTATGCTGTGGTACTATTATAGGTCCTTCCTAATGACCAGTGATCACACCTTAATTAGCAAGTCATTCAGCGTTATGGGTAGGAAAATACCATCAAAACTGAAGGCTGATTAGATAAATAGAATCATGTGCAAAATAGAACATACTGTTTTGTTTCTTGTGTGTGTACTAGTTGTTAAATTTCTATTCCCTTTTGGTTATTTATTTTGTATTATAATGTAAAAGGTCTAGAATTTTTGAGTTAAAAAGAGATGCTTGCTCTGAACTGCTCTGGTCATGATAGATTGTGAGTAAAGGCTGCTTTCCTGGGGTGGAGAGATTAATACTCTGGGCTACCATGTCTGTGTGGGTTGGGTGGTGCACTGTGTAAGATTAGTGACTTCTAGAGTTGGTGGGGAACAAAACACAGTTTGGTTGTGCTGACCTGTACCCTCTGCGGTAGTCCTGCACTGGTCCAGAGCGATATACCTTCTTGTTCTTCGTGAGCCATTGCTTCCTAACAGTGGCCTGATGATCTGCTCTACGTTTCCCAATAGTATTTGAAAACTACTTTCTGCTGCTTTTTCTTCCAGATAGCTAGTATGAACAGGTGTGTGTGTGTGTGTGTGTGTTACACACTCATATATGCTGTGTACATATATGCTTTGTACATGCTACATGCAAACACAGGCTCTATAGATGTTTGAATATAAGGCTAAGCATTATAAAATCTTGTTGCAATTTCTTGTCCAAATAGTCAATGCTGTTTGAAGAAGCCTTAGACAATGCTAGATTGATACTTACAAAATAGTGTTTTATAAATTGAAAAAGAAAGCAAAGCAGCTTAACATAAATTTGGTGATGCTTTAGAGATGAAAGATTACTTTTAAAAAGGCACTGTTTGGGGCTGGAGAGATGGTTCAGCAGTTATGAGCCCTTCTTGTTCTTCCAGACAACTCAGGTTCCGTTCCCAGCACCCTCATGGCCACTTACAACCATCTGCAACTCCAGTTCTCGGAGATCAGATCCAGTTCTGATGTACACGCGTACCGGTCAAGCACGCGATGCACATACAAACACACAGGCAAAACACTCACACGTAAAATGAGATAACCTGAGAAAGGGAGAACTACTATATGTGGACACATTTAAATAAATGTTTACAGCAGGAGTAAGCATCCCAGACACCCCAGTGTTCCAAGAGGAGATGGCTGTGCTTTACTTGGTATTTCCAGGGGTGCTGTCACAGAAAGCTCAACGGCCTCAGGTTGTGTGGACAGGAAGGTTTATGCTGGAAGACTGTATTAACTGATCCCAGGGGCACCTAGGTCATGAGAAGACCCTGATGGCAAAGATGCAAGAGGAATGAGTGAGATTGCCTCAGAAAATGTAACAGTGAGCAGGATTATTTCTGATAGGATGCTTTATACACCTTACAATTAAAGATGTTTAAAAGCATCTACATTCAAGGTCATTAAGATTTTTGTGTATATGTTGTTGGAAGATAATAAATTATCCTATATTTGTGGTCACTTTATATTCAGTAATATGTAATTCTTATTTTTTAACCAGAAACTGAGGCTCCTTGAGGAGCTTGAAGACACTTGGCTTCCTTACCTGACCCCCAAAGATGATGAGTTCTATCAGCAGGTAAGATGCCTTGGTAGTTTTTATTATTATTATTATTATTATTATTATTTACCAATTTCAGCCTCCATATTTGATTAGTGGAATTGCACTCAGAGACCTGGTCCTAGGCCATGCATTCCCCATATAAAAGTGTGCCTTCCTTCCCTGTCTTCAAACTCTTTTTTTTTTGTTTGTTTGTTTTTTGAGACAGTGTTTCTCTGTGTAGCCCTGGCTGTCCTGGAACTCACTCTGTAGACCAGGCTGGCCTCGAACTCAGAAATCCGCCTGCCTCTGCCTCCCAAGTGCTGGGATTAAAGGTGTGCACCACCACTGCCCGGCCTCTTCAAACTCTTGTCTAGACAAAGCACACCGGTTTGATTCCGCAGCACCTGTGAGTCTTCCTGCCTTTGCACCTCTCTGCTCATGCAGGCTTTTTGTTTTTGTCCTGCATAGAATACAATCTTGTCCTCTTCTCCTGTCGCCCCTGGTAGCACCTGCTTGTCCATAATAACCTTGACAATAAAGGAAGCGAGGTGAGCAGTTTGATTGTGCCCACATACACACCTCCTCAAGAGGTGGCATCTTAAAAGAGAGGGATGATTACAGAAGTATCCTATCCAGTAGTGATAAGCGCTCTCATTGCTTGTCTAGTCGACCAGATCAACTGCTACAAGCATGATTTGTTTTACAATGAGAAAAAAGAAACTCAAGAAGACAGTTTGAAGCAAGCAAAAGCAGTAAGCTCCGGGGTCTTAGAAATAAACTCATTGGCCTTGTACTCAGTTGTCTCAGTGTAGCTTACAGCCACTTCTGATTTTGTGTTGTGTAAGAAGACCATGAAGAACTAAATGGGAAAGATTATAGCCTGCTGTGCTCTGACCAGCCACACAACAGGGACAGGAAACAAACAAACAACCCTCCCACCCCCCCGCCACAAGCGAACAACCCTTTCAGGCTCCTTAGTTTCCTAAGACCCACTTTAAAAATCAGTAATCAGTATGTAATCATGTTAAATACAGATATCTGCTAATAAACCTTAGAGCTCCTGGAAAGCTTGGGTTTATAGGCTGTGCTTGTATGTATGTATGCTGTAAGTATAGAAGGTACATTCTTACAGATCCTGCTACTTGGGCGGTCAAACCAAGAGGATAGAACGAGCCCAGGAGTTCTGAGCTGACCTTCATCAACCAAAACAGAATAAAACCAGAAGCAAAACAGGGACACAAACGAACAGTTGAAGGGAACTTACTCTCTTAAAGGATGAACTGAAAGTACTTAAACTTAGTGGTTAGCTCCTATTGACTGTACAGTCAGTGGGTCCACGGTGGTATGGCATCTGTACGTGTGCCCATGGTGACCTGCTGTTGAGGCTGCTCCCTAGCATCCTTCCCAGTCTCCTTCATGTGTCTCTTCTGTCTGTCCCCGCTTCGTGCTCCTTTTCCCCGTCTGTAGACTTGTGCTGTGTTCTGCAGCATTCAGTGAATCACGTGCTGTCTGTCTTCCTGTGTTTGGCTTGTTTCATTCAAGCTAATATTCTCCAGTTCCGTCCACGCTGCTGCATGTGATAGGATTTCCTCCTTCACGGTTATGTAATAGCTCATTGTATTATATAATAATTGTTTATAGGTGTCTTTTCCCATCTTATAAATGACAGGAATAGATGGTTCAGGTCCGACATTGAATCCCTTACACGGCCTTTTTATAGGAATGTCAAACCAGCTTGAGGTAAAATTCTGATGCCATGCGGCTGGCATGTTAGCTGTCTCTGCCTGGGCCAGGCACTGTGCTGTTCTGTGAATGCTTTCATCTTTAGTTGCCACACCAGCCTTATTGATTTTTCCCACAAGTCAGCAGCTGTCTCCCTCAAGTTTGAGGAAGCCAAGGCAGGTCTTACTGTTGTCTGAAAGATCAGGAGTGAGGGAGTGCATGTCTGAGCATCAGAACTGAAGGCCAGCCTCCAACTGATGTGGCTCTGAGGCTGAGCCCTTTTTCCTTCTGTCCATGCTATGTTCCAGCTCAGAACACCTGGGGAAATGACCAGGAAACAGCAGTGTCAATGCTGGAAGTAGGACAGCAGAGGGAGCTTCTGATAACTTGCCTCAAGACACAGGAAACACACAATAACATAGTCAGACTGTCCCCCGATCCCAGAACACTCCCTGAAGTAGTGGGTCCTAGCTTCTCCTATGTGCCCTTTCCTCCCATGCCAGCAGGACCAGAGCCGAGTCAGAGCACTGCATACATTAGCTCATTTAAATATCACCAAGTCCTCTGAGATATCCACTGTACAGCTCACTTTGGGGCAGAGGACACTGAGGCGCAGAGAGGGTTACAGCCTTTTTGAGCTCTATGAGCAGGAAGTGTAAGGACCAGGCCTCCCCTGGCTCTGTGGAGAGCTCTGGGTAAACTCTTCTGCTTCCATCTTTTCCTGTATCTCTTAGTTTTCTGAGACAGCTTGCCTTTTTTCCAGTGGCCCCAACTCTTCCCATTTTTGTTACCTGTAATACCCCCAAGCTCCCAGTCCTGTGTACTAGAAGATTCTACCTGAGAGTCTTCCAGGAACACCCACCTCAGTATGATCCCTTTAGTTAGTTGTGTGCTCTGCAGCCTCCCCATTGAGGCCCTGCTGCAGTGCCATAGGTATTAGAAATAAAGTTGTGTAGGGTTGTAACGGCCCGTTCCTTTGTAACGGCCCGTTCTGGTCCACAGGTCAGGGTCTAGCAAGAGAGAGTGGGGACGGAGGGGCGAAGACGCAAAAGATGGATACAAGGCAGAGTCTGGTCAAGTCTCTTCAAGTCTCCTTTATAGAAAGGAAATCCTGGGTATTTATGCCCTTTACTACGTGCCTTGCCCTCGTGGACAAGCTCAACTGAAGGCACTACATCACGTGCCTTGTAGCCATGGATACCAGGTGCGTCTTGCAGCTGGGGGCACTAAACAGTGTAACAAGATGTTTATCAGAGTGCGCTCAGCTGTTGTGGGCTGTTGAAAACAAGTCTCTTGTCAGGGTACATGGCTTGAGATGGCTGTAAAGATGATAGCCGCTTTCGGCCTTTAAGAGTCGGCTCCCAAAACGGGGTGACCAAAGGTCCCTGCTTTTTTTGACCTTCCTTGTGGGAAGGTCATGTGGGAGGACCTTCACAAGCCATGTGACTAGTTCAGGTGGGAAGCCCTGGGCCTATGGAAGGCCAAAGGCTCTGAGATGTGCTTGAAACAGAAAGCCCCTGAAGCTGACAGTTGCGGAGTGAGAGCTGGGGAGAGGCTCAGAGGTTGGACAGTGAGGAACCTGCCCAGGAATGGGAAGGGGAGACAAGAGGGCTGAGTGCATGCCCGTCACAGCCTGTGGCTTACATTTTATTAAGGATCCATGCTCTTCAATGCTGGCTCAATTTTTGTCTCTAGTAGGTCCCCTTATCCTGTTCTTCAGGTTAGGAATCTTACTGTCATCAACTGCTAGTCATTGCTTCTGTCATTAAGTCCTGGCAATTTTACTTTTCCAGAATGTCTCAGATTCCTGCCATTGCTAGCATACTTAAAACCCATGTTTATCTGTAGCCTTTTGGGCTTGTCCGGATAGGTGCCCTCCAGTACCACCAGAACTGTGCTCTTAGAAATATGTCCGTATGTCCCTCCTTGGTTGTTTACTTTGCTGAGTCCTCCTTGTTTCTAAGGTAAAGTTCAAACTCAGCATGTCCACTTACCACTCACAAAGCTATCGACAGTTAGACCAACTCCCTGTGTCCAGCCTCGTATCCTTCACCTACTATGGATCTCTCTGACAGACACCAGTGTCTGAGAGCACCTTGCTGTACTTGACCCTGCCTGCCCTTCTTCCTACCTTGTTCCTGCCACTCCCCTCCTCCCCTCCACTGTCTGGCAGCCGTCTAGTCACCCTAAGAAAATGCCCTTATGTAAATGCTGTACATTTCTGTTAGTGTCCCAGAAAGTCCCACTGGTAGAATGTCATGGACTGCTTTCCGTCTCTTCTGATTGCCCAGGGGCCAAAGCTTCCTGCTGAATGTGTCTTTCAGCTTCTCCACTCTTCCTCTGCTTCAGCATAACATCCGGAGAAATCTTAAAGTGTTTTTCATTCTTTTATTTTGCCTGTGTGTGCACATGTGTGGTGCCACATACGGAGGTCAGAGGCCAACTTGTGAGAGTCAGCTCTCCTTCTGTCACGTGGGTCATCTGGATTGGTGGCAAGTGCCTTCGCCCACTGAGCCATCTCTCTCTCTCTCTCTCTCTCTCTCTCTCTCTCTCTCTCTCTCTCT